GCCCCGGCGCCCGCCGTCCCCGCGGCTTCCCGCCCTGGCGACAGAGCGCGCCGCCTGTCGCGACAGAGCCCCCCGCCCACGCCATTGCCGCAGGAGGCGTCCGCCGCGGCGTTAGCGCCGTCCGTCCCCTCAGTGCGCGCGGGCCCCCTGCCCTTCCCTGCGCCGCCGCCTCCACGCCCCTCGGCGCCGCTCCGGGCCCTTCCCGCGACCGGGGCTCCGTCCCCGCCCCTCGTGGCATCCGTGTCGGGGCCCCTGGGTCAGGGTGCGAGGGGGTGCGCCCTCCCGTGTGTCGGGCCCGCCCCTCTCCCTGTCGGCATTGGCTCCTTCTGGAAGGCTGTCGGCGCCCCTGGGCTCAGGTGCCCGCCCCCTCGGCAGCCGTGCCTTCTGTCGAGGGGGTCACCTCCGGGCTAGGGCGCGGGTGCCAGCGCTCTGGGGGGAGCCCCGCGCCCCTGCGACCTGTTCGCCGTGTCTGGAGTCTCGCTCCCCGCCTTGGGTCCGATACGCGACAGGGGTCCTCTCTGGAGATCTAGGGGGGAGCTCCCTGGACCATAGAGCCCAGCGCCTCGCAGTCGGGCCTCGCTCCGTTGCGCGCTCAAAGTTGGCAGCTCTGGGCACGTAGCTGTCCCCTGCGGCGGGGCCGCCACATCCCTGAGCCCGGGGCTTCCTGCTGGAAGCTCAGCCCCCGTCGGTCTCAGCGCCTCCTGTTGGGGGGTCATCTGTGGGTTTCACCTCAGTGCACAGGGACCAGCCCTCCAGGACAGGACTCCTCTGTTGGGGGGCTCTCTCTCCCTTCCGCACCCCTCCTGCCCTGGATGCCATCTCCGGAGTCTAGTATCACCCCCTTTCCGTGAGTTGCAGTAGTCCCAGTTTTCCCCTTGATACCCCATGGGGGTCCTCTTTGAAGATCTGGGGGCTGAGCCCCCCTGGATCAAAGAGCCCATCTCCCTGTAGTTGGACCATTTCCTTGTGCCAGGAGAGTCCCCGACAGCTGGGCTGCCCTGAGCCCTTTGGTCTGGGTGTCCCTGTCCCTGGCCTTGTGGATGTCAGCTCACCTGGGCCCCAGGGACCTGCCTCCTTCCCGGTGGGCTCTCTCATGATGTCGCCTACACCCCGGGACGCTCTCCTGAGTGTCAGGTGCCTGGTCCAGACCCCTGCTTCGTGCTGTTCGTGGTCTCCCGTTGTGGACAGCGCGAGGACCTAGTTTTCTAAGTCGCACCTGCCTGGCCCAGGAGCCACGCCCTCTCCCAGGCCCACTGTTGCTGCCTTTGTGGTCCTGGTGTTTGGGCACCTCACCTCTTAGGAGCTGTCGCCTCATTCTGAGGCTTCCACTCCCCCCGACATCAGCCCCTTTAGGGTGTGCTCTCTCCAGGGCCCAGGGTCCCACACCCCCTCGGTATTGGTGTCAGTCCCTCGCTGTGGCTGTGTTGGCTCACATGCCTCCCCCCCGACCCCAATGCCAGGAGATCCCATGGAGGCATGAGGCTTCCCTGACCTGGGGTTACTGTGTTGTGGGGTGCGGGCTTTCTGTCTGGGGCTGTGCTCATTCTTCAAGATTAGAAAGCTTACTAGCTGTTGGCTTCCCTGGGATGAGAGTCCTGCCTGCCTTGGTTTTGGTAGCAGCCCCTCTCCTGGGTTGCAGGTGTCCACACCTCTGTGTGTGGGTGTCCCCACTGTGAGGCCAAGGACCCCGCTGGGGCGTAGGCACCCAGGGCTGGTGCTCCTACCCCTCGTCTTTGTGATGTCTCTGTGCGACTCAGGCTCTGCCCTCATGAGGCGAGTGGTCCTTGCTGTGGGGCTGTGAGGTGTCTGAGACTTGGGCACAGACCCCACTATTGGCCCTCCTTTGGGACCAAGGATGGCTCTGGTGCAATCAGTCCCCCACCCTTGGGATGAAGCCTCTCAGTGGGGAGAGCAGACCCCACCCCAGGACCGAAGGCCCCACCTTTGGAGTGGCGGCACCATCCCCCTCCAGTGCTAAGGGTTGCCCTCCAACCCCACTTCCCAGCCAGCTCTGCCTGCTCCCTTCCCGGCTCCTTGCTGTCGAGGTGTGAGGTGTGGCCCGTGGATCCAAGGCGCCTCACCCCCGGGTAGTGGGCCTTTCTCTGAGGGCACGCGACGGCCCCGGGATCAAGGCTGCCTGTGCTCCTCAGCATTAAGCCTCTGGGCCTCCCTGGCAGGCCTGGCTCTGTGAAATTGTCATCTCTGAGGTGACATGTGGGGGCCTTTCTGTCTTAGTCTGGCCCCTCATTGTAAGGGTTCGTTGGCTCCTGTAGAGCCCGTGTGCTGCTCACCCCAGCCCCTCAAGTGTGGGCCCCTCTCCTGGGCGGGCCTCTCCCTTAGATGAGCCTCCTCTTGGTGAACACCCAGGCCTGAGGGGGTTCTTCTCACTGGGAGAGCTAGCTTTTCTGTGTCTGAGCCGGCCACCCTCTTGGACCCAGCCACAGTGACCGTCTCCTGGAGCAGGGAGGGCTCGTCTGCGGTCCGGTGGGGGGACTCCCCTTCAGGACCAAGCTCTGTCCTTTGTCCCTGGTCCTTGCTTGTAAGATATGAGCACCCCCTTGCTGCGGGCTTTCTCTGGGAGGGAGGCTTCTGCCAGCCTCTCTGGGGGAGGTGATACTCCAGGCCTGCACTCTTGCCCCTTCTCCACGGAGGAGCTGCCCGGTCCCACCTCAGTGACGCCTTTTGTCATGAGCTCCCTGGGCCTCAGCAGCGGCCCACTCTGACCATCACGCGTTCTGTCTCAAACATCACCTGGCCGGCCTCAGGTTCTTGTTCCCCCGGCTCCTCGTGTCTGAGGCCTTCGGCCCTCTTACACCACAGGATGTCCCTGCCTTGTGTGCGGATTAGCTCCAGCCCTGGTCAGGCTCCTGACGCCTTCCTTCGCTGTGGGGACTGGGTGTGGAGCCTGTCGTCTGGGGTGTAAACTGAGGCAAGAGAGGCATGAGCTGGTCTGTAATGTGCCTGCTGCCCCAGGCAGTAGGAGGCCTCTCTCTGTGTGGCAGCTGAGCTCACCTTGGGGTGGGATTCCTGTACCCATCCGTGGGCGTCCCCTCTGTGCAGTGGCCTCCTGGCCCCTGGTGGGTGTCCAGCTGCCTCGCCATCCTGGAGCTGGTATCTTCCTTGTCTCGGGAGTGGGCCCCCCTCCGGAATAGGGCACGTTGGCTGACCACAGAGGGGACTAGTGCCGCTTTCATTCTTTGTCATGCCCTTTACTGAGGAGGTTAGCCTCCCTTGAATCTGAAGTGAAGAGCCCTGGTGACAAGGTGGTTAAGCTGCTGACCAGAAGGTTAGTGGTTCAAACTCGCTAGCCACTCCATGGGAGAAAGGTGTGGCAGTCTGCTTCTGTAAAGATCACAGCCTTGGGAACCCTACGGGGCAGTTCCATTCTGTCTTACAGGATCGTTGCAGGAGAAGTACGTGGCGGTCTGCTCCCACAAAGACTTCCAGCCCCAGAAACGCTGTGGAGCACCTCTCTGTAGGGAGCCTCGGCTGGCAGTCCTGTGCCTTGAAGGGTCACTGGGAGTTGAGTGGACGTGACGATAATGTGTTTGGTTTTTTATGTGATGTGAGTCCACCAGCCAGAGTGGGTCCCTACCAGAGAGGTGGTGTAGCCTGTCTGAGGTTAAGGCACCTCTCCCATCCTGTGTGGGCCATCGTTCCGAAGCTCGCCCACTGTCTGCCACTGTCCTGTATGGCAGCTGGTGTCACATGTGACAATTTACATTTTAATTTATTGAAAGAGACATTCTGTTCTTCAGTTGCACTGGCCACATTCCAAGTGTGCGGTGGCCACGTGTGGCTCCTGGAGTGGACGGCACAGAAGTGGCGTGTTTTCATTGTTGGGGAGGCCTGGTTGGACAGGACTGCTGCAGAGATGAGGGCCTCTCGGTCTCACTGTTCCCTTGTGAGCGCGGGCGCTACCTGTGTGTAGGGACGCTTCTGCCTTGGCACTGCAGGGCGACTCTGGGCCCATGGGCGCCCCCTCTTGCGGGAACCTCTGCTGGCAACAGTGGAGTCCTGGTAGTGTGATCCCCCCACGGCTCCCTGAATCTCCCCCTGGTGTGGGTATCAGAGCCCGAGGCATTGTGACACCCCCCCCCCCAGCTCTCAGCAGCCTCCCTTGGCTACCAGACCCCTGTGGGCTGCAGCTGGCTTCCTTCAGGGTGAAGTGTCCCCTTGCTCAGCGTTGGGCGGTTGCCACGCTGGTTTCTCTTTCCCCGAGTCTAAGTTACCGATCCATTTGATATGGAATTCCTTTGTGGATGCAGACCAGCTGCCTCCCTGCCTGGTCACCCTTCCAGTCTCTTCTAAGAGGTGGATCTTCTGGCCGCCCTGGGGCCAACTGCCCCAGATTGCCTGCTCTTCTTGGCATTGGCCTCTTTGAGTTGGGAGTGTTACATGCGCCTGGTGTAAGGATCCTTCTTGGGCACAGCCTTCCTGGAGATCTGAAACCCAGCCTGTCTGGGTGGGTGGTCTCAGCTCCTCATAGGGGAAGCCTCTTCTGTCACCTCCAGCCACCTGCCTCACAGGTCACCCAGACATGCTCCCCACCCTCCTCAGTAAGCTGTCCCTGCTCTTACGACAGCTCTGATGGGGTTGCCCGTCCCAGTGCTGAGGTCCTGGCCACCGTGGCTATGCCTGGCCCTTGGGTGCCAGAAGTGGGAGCCCCAGGTTTCGTATCTTCTTCCCAGCAGTCAGCTGTGTCCTGCCTGACTGACCATTCCCTGCTCGCAGCTAGTCTCTCGAGTGTCATCTCTGGGGAGAAGGTGCTTTTCGGTTCAGGAATTGCCCACTTCCTGGGTTAGAGGTCTGACTGTGTCCTGAGTGCCCATGTAGGCCGGGGTCCAGGCTGGGTCATGTGAGAGCTGTGCCCTCCCTTAGCACTCCCCCGCCCTGCCGTCCCCAGCATGTCCATGTCTCTGGGACAGACCAGCCAGGAATAATTGTATTTGTCCCTCTGTCCCCCAGCAGCGTCCGTCTCCAAGGGAGTATGAAGAGAGTGCGTCTTTAGGGCAGGGAAGATGGCGGACAAGCGCAAACTCCAAGGTACTGAGCCCCAGGGCGCCTGTGCGCCCACGCGCCTCCCCTCTGCACGCGTGAGACGCCCACTGCCTCGGCAGCGCTGACCGGCCGCCTTTCCCCCGACCAGGTGAGATTGACCGCTGCCTTAAGAAGGTGTCCGAGGGTGTGGAACAGTTTGAGGACATCTGGCAGAAGGTACGGAGCCAGGGCCGGGAGGACCTGCGTCTCCAGGGGAGCACGGAGGAGGGCGGGGCCGCCGACAGGAGGAGGGTCAGGACCTCCGGGTGTCAGCAGGGAGGGGGCCGTGTGTCCAGATGCTGCGGGCTGAGGAGGAGCCTGCCCAGGTGGGCGGGGTCCCAGCCCTTAAGTGCATGAAGGGGGCTCAGCTCCCAGGGTCCGAGGCTCATGAGGGATGGGGATAGGCCACCCCCTACGTGGCACAGGAGCTGGGCCTGCCACCGCCACTGTGACGCCTGTGTTTGTTTTGCCCCTCAGCTCCACAACGCAGCTAATGCAAACCAGAAAGAGAAGTACGAGGCGGATCTCAAGAAGGAGATTAAGAAACTACAAGTGAGGGGGCAGGGCCTGGGTCCCTACAGAGGAGACAGTGGCCTGGGCGACTGGGTCCCTACAGAGGTGGGAGCTAGGGCCTCAATCCCTGGTTCCTGAAGCTGTCTGATTTCTTGCTGTTCCCATGGACAGCGGCTGAGGGACCAGATTAAGACATGGGTGGCATCCAACGAGATCAAGGACAAGAGACAGCTTATAGACAACCGCAAGCTCATTGAGACGGTAGGGGAGCTGTCCTAGAGTGCGGGTCCAAGGGGCTGACCCAGAGCATGGGTCTGGGGGGGCTGCCCCAGAGCGCAGATCCAGGGCACTGTCCTAGAGTGCAGGTCTGGGGGGGGCGCTGTCCTAGAGCGCGGGTCCACGGGAGCTGTCCCAGAGCGCGGGTCCGGGGGGTGCTGTCCCAGAGTGCAGATCCAGGGCACTGTCCTGGACGAGTGCAGGTCTGGGGGGGCGCTGTCCTGGAGTGTGGGTCCAGGGGTGCTGTCCCAGAGTGCAGGTCCAAGGGGTGCTGTCCTAGAGTGCAGGTCCACGGGCGCTGTCCTAGAGCGTGGGTCCGGGGTGGCTGTCCCAGAGTGCAGATCCAGGGCACTGTCCTAGAGTGCAGGTCTGGGGGGTGCGCTGTCCTGGAGTGTGGGTGCAGGGGGCTGTCTCAGAGCGCAGGTCCGGGGGGCTGTCCCAGAGTGCAGATCCAGGGGCACTGTCCTGGAGTGTGGGTCCAGGGGTGCTGTCCCAGAGTGTGGGTCCAGGGGGGCTGTCCCAGAGTGCAGGTCCAAGGGGAGCTGCAGCAGGCACCCAGAGTGTGGGTCCATTGGGACTGTGGCAGGCACCTGGAGTGCAGGTCTTGGGGGATGGAGGCTGTCCCAGAGCACAGGTTGGGATTGGGCTGCGCCTGGTCCCCCAGAAGCTCTGGGAGGAGAAGGAAGGTCTCTGCTCTCTCCACAGCAAATGGAACGGTTCAAGGTGGTAGAACGAGAGACCAAAACCAAAGCCTATAGCAAGGAGGGCCTGGGCTTGGCCCAGAAGGTAGACCCTGCTCAGAAGGAAAAGGAAGAGGTTGGCCAGTGGCTTACGGTGAGCTGGGGCTGAAAAGAGAAGGTAGGTGCTGGGGGCCTGGCCCCCCAACCCAGGCAGATTCCAGGCTGACTTTGTCTCTCTGCCCCCAGAACACCATCGACACCCTAAACATGCAGGTGGACCAGTTTGAGAGTGAGGTGGAGTCCCTGTCCGTGCAGACACGCAAGAAGAAAGGCGACAAGGATGTGAGTGCGGGGAGCCCCACACCCGAGCTGGAGGTGGCAGGGGGCTGGCGAGCCACAGAAGGGGGCCTGGATCCCCGGGCGGGTGGGGCCAGCAGCTCTGGGCACTGGGGGCAGAACTGGCAGAGCCTCATCGCTGCCTGGGGGTGGGGCAGGCGGAGCTGAGACTGCCTCAGGGGACCAGCCCGTGTGAGCAGTGGGGCCTCCGGGCAGAGGAGCGGCTTGGGGGGTACTGCTGAGGTCAGTGCGGGCTGCAGGGCAAGCGAGAGACCCACAGGATCCACAGGACGGGAGGCGTTGAAGGCCGTGGCCTCCCACAGTCTTGGAGGGTAGTGGTTACAGACGAGGCAGCCAGCCCAGACCCGTCAGCGTGGCCCAGAGGAGAGGAGTGGCTTGGGGAGGCTGCAGCTCCAGCTGGGGCTTTCTGGGCTGAGAGGGGGCCAGGCTGTGTCTGCCTGTCGGTGCAGGAGATAGGCCAGAGCATCGTCCTCGGGGAAGGTGCCCCGGGAGCTGGGGCCCAGGCAGCTGAGCCCCAGACTGGGCTGTCTGAGCCTCTCTCCTTGGAGAGAGAGGAGATGGGAGTTGTTCTTTTTAACTTTGGGTTTTGATTTGGGTGAAAGTTTATGGAGGAAATTGGCCATTTGGAGTTAGGACTTTGGTGTCCAGTCCTAAAGGAGATGGTGCGTTAGGATCTTTGCGGGGAGGGTCAGGTCCCAAGAGTCTAGGCGTGGGGCTTTGGAATCTCGAGTTCGGGGATGGGGGGTGCTGGTGATGCAGAGGTGGTGATGATGAGTGGCAGGCTCCTCACAGGTGGGGACTGTTGCCGTGATGGGGTATGTGTGTGGGTGGGTGTCTGTAGTCTGTCTGTGTCAGTGTGTACCTCCATCCTCACAAGCAGGCAGAGCTGGCGGGTGGCCAGCAGACAGCTGGGGGTGACGGGCTGTGTTGTGTACTGTGTGTGTCTGTACGCGTTGTGTGTCTGTGTGTCTCTGTGTGCGTGTGTACTTCTGTCCCCACAGGCAGCCAGAGCTGGCGGGGGTCAGTGGACACCTGGGGGTGGTGGGCTGTGTTGTGGGCCGGTGCTGGGATCTGTGGGTCTCGAGGGGCCCGGGACCAGGGACTGCGGATGGCTGCAGGGGACAGCCGGGGCTGCGTGGCCCGAGCGCCCCTGAGCCTGGCCCTGGCTCGCCAGCAGAAGCAGGACCGGATCGAGGGCCTGAAGCGGCACATTGAGAAGCACCGGTACCACGTGCGCATGCTAGAGACCATCCTGCGCATGTTGGACAATGACTCCATCCTGGTCGACGCCATCCGCAAGATCAAGGACGACGTGGAGTACTACGTCGACTCCTCCCAGTACCCTGACTTCGAGGAGAATGAGTTCCTGTACGACGACCTGGACCTCGAGGACATTCGTGAGGCCCCAGGCTGGCCCGCGGGCGCCGGGGGAGGGCCAGGAGGGGGCAGCCGAGCCCGCTGAGCCCACCCTCCGCTGCCCCACAGCACAGGCGCTGGTCGCCACCTCCCCCCCCAGCCACAGCCACATGGAGGACGAGGTCTTCAACCAGTCGAGCAGCACGCCCACCTCCACCACCTCCAGCTCGCCCATCCCTCCCAGCCCAGCCAACTGCACCACGGTGAGGCCGGGCGCCTGCATCTGGGGCCCGGCCAGGGGCGGGGCCTGGTTCCCTGAGGAGGCGCTGGGAGTGGCCCCGGGGAGGCCATTGAGGAGGCAGGGTTCTGTCCAGGCTTCAAGGGGCAGAGCCGCCACCTCTGGGAGCTGGTGGGCGGGACGACCTTGCTGTGTGCTGTGGGAAGGGCCCCTGCTGGGCGCTGGCTTTGGAGCCAGGACCCAGGGGTTGCTCCTAGAGAGAGCAGGTGCCCGCATCCTGGAGCTGGCTGGTGAGTGGCCAGCTCCTGGGAGATGGGGACACTGGGAGTGGGACTTGGTGCATTCTTGAAGGTGGTCCAGTCCTAGTGTGTGGTGGGACATGGCCCCAGGGCTGGGGGTCAGGGCCTTGGCAGGGCCCTGGGCAGCTCACAGAGACTTCTGACTCTGTGTCCCGCTCAGGAAAACTCTGAGGATGACAAGAAGAGAGGCCGATCGACAGACAGTGAGGTCAGCCAGGTGGGTTGGGGCCTGGGTGTGACAGGCATCTCCCTCCTTGTTGACATCCTCCCCGAGGCGGGTTGGGGCCCAGTATTTCGGGATTGCAGAGGTGGGTCGGCGTGTGCCCTGGAGGGAGGGCCTGTCAGCGAGGGGGAGGACAGGCAGCCAACAGTGTGATGGTGACACCCAGCAGCACCCTGGCTAGGACAGCGGTCAGGCTGTGGTGCTCAGAGGCTTTAGGGAGGAACAAGGGCCAGCTCAGGGGAGGCAGGCAGAGGGCCGGAGGCCCGGCAGCGTGTGAGGTGGCCTGGAGGCTGTGGCGGGGCCCCGGGTTGGGGCCGCGCCATGAGGACCTTGAATCCTCAGGCCGGGGCACCTGGATCCCGTGGACCCGCTCTGAGGGTGCAGCGAGGCTGGGGGCTGCTGCGCTGTGAACCCGAATAGCTTCTGCTCTCAGGGGCTTCTCGGGGCCTGCTGCTGGTGGGCACTGCCAGCTTCCACACGGGCTTGGCCCGGCCCTGGGAGCTCCGCTGAGGCCTCGGGACGGGAATGCCCTGTGGGTGCTGCTGCCACGGGCCCTCCATAGGCTGGCACGCAGGTGGTCCTGCCAGGGAGGCCCCGAGCGGGGGGGCTGTCCTCAGGAGCAGCGAGCGGGGTAGACAGGCCTCAGGAAGGAGTCGGTCGAGGGTCCCGTGGGTGTGTGGCCAGTGCGAGGTGTCAGGGTCGCAGCTGGATGCAGTGACAGTGTGATGGGGCGTGGTGCATCCCCGGCACTGCTTTGTGGGCCACTGGCAGCGTGTGATCCGTCACGTGACAATGAGAGTCTCTGTCCATTTTTCAGATGTTGTTCTCTCTCCCCCGGGGCACCTAGATGGTCCCAGCTAATCTCGTATCACTAGACGGTTAGGTGTTCCCACCCATGCCCCGTCACCGGACAGACAGGTTCTCCCACTGTTCTCTCTCATGCGTGACATGAGTGGGGTGCCCATCCCTGTGGGACGCCCGTGGGGGTGTCCAGGAGGGACTGGGCTCTGGGGGTGGCCAGGAGTGGGCTGGAGTGTCGTCAGTGTGGCGGTGGTGAGTGGAGCCAGGAGGGCGAGGGCAGCAGCTGGGGCAGCCAGGAGGCGCGTGCGACGAAGACGGAGCCTGAGCCGGATGGGGGGACAGGTGTGTGGGAGACGTGGGGTGCTGCGGCAGAGTGGGGAGACCCGCCCGCTGCAGTGGGCCGCCCTGACCTCCTTCTCTCTCCCATCCACAGTCTCCAGCCAAAAACGGCTCCAAGCCTGTCCACAGCACCCAGCACCCTCAGTCCCCAGCTGTGCCACCCAGCTACCCCTCCGGCCCCCCGCCTGCCACCTCCACCCTGAGCACCACCCCTGGCAACAATGGGGCCCCCGCCCCAGCAGCACCCCCAAGTGCCCTGGGCCCCAAGGCCAGTCCAGCTCCCAGCCACAACTCGGGCACTCCCGCCCCCTATGCCCAGGCCGTGGCCCCGCCAGCCCCCAGTGGGCCCAGCACCGCGCAGCCCCGGCCGCCCAGCGTCCAGCCCGGTGGGGGCAGCAGCGGCAGTGGGGGCAGCGGGAGCAGCAGCGGCAGTAGTGGCAGCGGAGGTGCTGGCAAGCAGAACGGCGCCACCAGTGAGCAGGGGACCGGCGGGCAAGGAGCGGGGTGGGGGGGAGGCCGGGCAGCCGCCCACAGCCCCTCCTTCCCTCCGTGCTCCAGGTTACAGTTCTGTGGTGGCGGACAGCCCGGCAGAGGCGGCTCTGAGCGGCAGCGGCAGCACCAGCAGCCAGGCCCTGGGCGCCCCAGCCGGCCCCCACAACCCGCCTCCCAACGCCTCGTGAGTGACTCCAACCTGGCCATCGCCACTCGCCACCTGGTGGGGCCCGTCCTCACCTCTGCTCTCGGGGGTGTCCTGAGGTGTATTCTCTTCTGATTGGGCTTTTCCCAGGAACCTCCCTCCTCTCCTCTCATGCACCCACTTCAGGCCCCCCCTGGGGTGTGCTCCAAGGGCCCCTCTGCCCCGGAGCTCCTGTCCGCCCATCGCCTGGCCCCACAGTGGCTGCTGTCGGGGGGCCTAGTGCTGGCCTTCCAGAGTGAAGCAGGTTGCAGGCCGCCTTCTGCTGTCCTGCCCCTCCAAGCCTGCTGGCCAGCCCTTCCCCACACCCCTGTCCCCAGCACAGTGCCACTCTCCTGGCAACCTCCCAGGCTCCGTCAGGCTGCCCCGGGGGCTCCTGACCCGTCCTCTCTGCCCTAGGTGTCTGGTTAGAACAGCACTGCCCACAACCTCCTTCCTCCTCCACAGACTCTTCCCCACCAAACAGTAATGACAGAGCCACCCTCCCTCTCCTCCACTTGTCGCGCTTGTCACCGATGGCCCTCTGCAGGGCGTCCTCGCAGCCCTGAGTAGCAGTGATCCTGAGGCTGGGGTCTGCTCCGCTCACGGGGTGTCCCAGCGAGCCGCCTCTCTCCTCACGCCTGTGCCTCCAGACCCTATGTTCTCAGTGCCGCCTCTCTCGTCCCCTCTGTCCCCTCTGCCCCCTCGGTCGCCTCTGAGCATCCACCTCTCTGCCCTCTTCTCAGAAAGGAACCCAGTGGGGCAGCTCCAGCGGGGGCTGGGGGCGTGGCCCCAGGCTCAGGGAACAGCAGTGGAGGACCCAGCCTCCTGGTGCCGCTGCCTGTGAATCCCCCCAGCTCCCCGACACCCAGCTTTAGCGAGGCCAAGGCAACGGGGGCCCTGCTGAACGGGCCCCCGCAGTTCAGCACAGCCCCGGAGATCAAGGTGAGTGCCACATGCCCCCACAGGACCCTGTGCCACACCTGTCCTCGCCCATTCGGACGGGCTTGGGTCCCAAACCCCCACCTCCCCCGCTGCAGGGTCTTCAGGTCTCCCGTGGCCTTGCGGGTCTCCTCCCTCGCTGTCTTTGGTTTCAGTCCTCGTCTCTCTCCTCCCCTGCCTGTCTCCCCATCTTCTCCTCTGTCTTTTGCCCTCCTCCCTTCTCAAAAGCCACATGGCTTAGTGCCTACCTTCAGGAAGCTTGTGGGGACAGACTGAGCACTCAGGGTGCTATGTCCTTGCAGGACCCCCCATCCCCCTGGCCCAGGGGAGGTGGCCCAGGAAGGCTCATGGCGGCCTGGCATCTGAGCAGGCGGGGTGGCTGGGCAGGAACTCAGCAGAGAAGGGGACAGTTGTCCACCCTACAGGAGGGTGCAAGGGCTGGGCCGAGGTGATGGCGGATGGGCAGCAAGGGCAGCCAGCCACCAAGTCGTGAGCTGGGGTTCATCCCATGTCCGTGGGCAGGAGGCAGAGCGGGCAGCCAGGCGTGCCAGTCCCAGCCCCTGGGCACTGTGCCCGAGTCCTCCTCTGGAGATGGCATCATTTCTGTTTGACTTACACCGACTGACTGGCCCAGGATGCACTGGGCCTGTGAGGACGGTGCAGGGACAGAGGATGCTAGGAAGGGCGGCCTGCTTCGAGAGACTGGACGGGACGGAGGGCTGTGCACAGACCAGTGTCCGAGGGGCCCCCACTGAGGCCGTGCACGTCGGTTCACTTGAGGGAGTCTGCCTTGACCCAAAGGACTGACGCCTGCTATGACGGCTCAACTCGGGAAAAGGGCTAGGGTGCAACTGGTCATTCACCAGCCAGGGGCCAGAGCCTGTCCCCCCCTACACACGTCTGTGTCCCAGGCAGAGCAGTAGCATCCAGGCCCACCCCTGGGACACGGCTGCGGCCAGGGCCTGACACGAAGGGACACTGTGGTCCCCACCTCCCCCCACGGGGGGGACGCTGTGGTCCCCGCTTCTCCCCCACAGAGGGGTGCTGCGGTCCCTACTTCTCTCCCCATGGAGGGATGCTGTGGTCCCGCCTTCTCCCCTGTGACGGACATTGTGGTCCCTGCCTCTCCCACCCAGTGCCGCACTGACTGCTGTCCCAGGCGTGGAACTCGAGCAGGGGAACCTGGGATGCGGGTGTCTGACCTGCTGATGGGCCCTTTGGGCATCTCCCACCAGTGTGGGCAGGGGGACAGGTGGGTGCTCAGCCCACAGCCCACCTCCCTGTTCAGGGCCTGTCTTGGCACCTCGCCCCACAGGCCCCCGAGCCTCTGAGTTCTCTGAAGTCCATGGCGGAGCGGGCGGCCATTGGCTCCACCATCGAGGACGCTGTGCCGACGCTGCACCTGACCGAGCGAGGTGAGGGCCTGGG